TTGAGGCTTCGGCTTCAGCTTCCGGCCGAGGTGTCAGGTGCAGAGTTTCAACAGGGCTTAGTACCAGTACGGGCTCTTCTGGAACGCCACTCTGAAGCCCTGCGTTCTCGTGCAGCGACTCTAGACGTTAGATCAAGTTGGTGATGGATCGACCATTCACCTCGGCCCCTGGTCCTAAATCCTACAGCCCCAAGAGACGAAGATGAACTTTGTCGAGCAGATAGGTACATCGTGCTTCTAGCCTTGTTCCATTACGCGCGTACGTTTGAGTGCCGCGCTGGACCTTGGAGGCGAAGTACGGCAGATCCTGTGGCGCACAGGGAGAGGCTGCCGCGCTTCACTTGGTCTGGATGGTTGGAGTTATGACAGGCCCCAGACAAAGAATTAGGATTAGGAATTAGGAAGCTAAACCCTGAGAAGTCTGGCCCTCAGCCGCACCGAACACTCAATGCTCCGCGGCGCAACACGTAGTTAGTCTCGAAGCCGTACTGGGTCAAAGGCAGTGATGTCGGACTTCACGTAGGCGCACTCCGTGCGCTTCTTCCCCATCCTCAACAAGACATGAAGCTGGCTTTCGGTGGCCAATGTTCACGAGTTTAAACACAGGGCTAAATTTTGGTGGAAATGCCTTTTAACAGATTTGCGATTGCGGGAGGGCGCCGACTTCGACTCCCCCCAACTACGATTACGACCACTACCACCACTACGATCATTGCAGCTACTAGGACTACTGCGACTACTGCGAGTGCTACGACGACGACGACGACGACGACGACTACGACTACTACTACTACTACGACCACCACTACTGCGACTGCTACAGTACTACTGCTACGACTAGGAATACGACTACTACGGTCAAGCCGAGGGCGAGGGCAAGGGCGACGACGACGACGACGACGACGAGGACGAGGAGGAGGAGGAGGAGGACTGCAGCGTCTACTTCATCAAACTCTTGGAAGACGGCCCCACCGTTGGTATTCACATCAGCATACCAAAAGGATTCCGAGCATTGCAGAATCTGCCTTTCTACCGGCGACATGAGCATCGTCATAATCATCGTCGTCGTCATCACCCGTCACCATTGCCATCATCACATCACTACTTTCACCACTGCGGGTTAGTTAGCCCGCTTTTATTGCTGCAGGAAAATTCCTGCAGCACTTTTTCGTGCCGGTAGCGACGCAGTAGTCTTCTGTTCATGTCCAAGTCCGTAACAACAGAAACATCTCAAGCATCTTGAGAAGCACTATGAACCCTTGATGCGGCCCGATTGCAGGCCCGCCAGGATCGACTTGCCCAGGCGGGCGCCTGGGCTCCAGAGGTCCAAGGGCCAAAGACGTGTGGCAGATCGTACAAGTCTAGGGCTCATATTCACTGGACCGAGCCAAAGTTGAAAGCCTCAGGGTGAAGCTACACACCTTAGACTCCGGGTGCAGCCCAGCCTGCGTAGGCCATGGACAGCGTAGCACTGCCCTTGCCGGCCTTCGAGGTTTGTGGGCTTTGGGGACTTGGTCCTTAAGGGTGTCGGGGTCTCGGGGGCCTGCTGCACGTCGGGGATTCAGTGCCCTTTGAATGTGAGAAACTGCGTCAGGTAGCGGGATAGTAATGTGTTAGGTTAGGACAGTTAGGACATGTGCATCTCGGCATTCGGAAGTCGCCGAGTGCAGAGTGTCCGCAGGTAAGTGCAGGTGCTGACGTGTGGTATCGATGTGTTTTGCCCAAGTGTAAGTTCACATGGCAGTGCAGAAACAAAGTATGTACGTAAGCCGTAAGCGCGTAAGTCCGTGTTCAAGCAAGGCCGAAGATGCCCAAAGAAGTGCGTAGGTGTAGGTGTAGGTGTAGGTGT